ATATGAATATACCGTGACAGTTTCGTCAATGGTGAGGGGTAAATTAAAACACGAATAAAAACGAATAAAATTGAAACAAACCAGTGAATAACAACAAACCTTCACAATTTCAAAAGTTTATCATTCATTTTATAGCCTTTTGCTTAAGTAGGATTCTTTTCAAATTCTACAAATGAGCATACATTGGTGTCGTGTTCATTTGTTGCCATAAATGTAGTACGAGTTCTTTAACTTAAATAATGACAGCTACTCACCTGCACAGTAAAATTTCCAGGTTGACTAATCGTGTTAAAATCTGCCTCAAATGATGTGTTAACACAGGACAGGCTCACTGCTGAGTTCACTGTTACATTTTGTCCCAGGGTCGAGATGTTCAGTTCCAGTGGGCAACCAGGACAATAGACTCCCTCACAGCAAAACTTGTAATATCCTATAATTTGACCAAACATGCTGTATGATTGACATATTGTATAGTCTACATCTTTTCTTCGCCAAACTGCAACTTGTGAGAATAGAATCATCAATAACCTCTCAAAATTTGTATGAAAAAAGTTCCATTAGCAAGTTTAAATGCTAACCCATTGCCCATTTCTCATTCAAGGTAATCCTTTAACCACGCATTCCTAGTAACATTTAGTTTCTAGAGGAATCGTGAAATGTTAGAGAAAAACTGGTGTTCCGTCTCAGCCAAGAGACTCATCAGATACCTTTGTGAAAGGTACTCTTTAATTGGGATATTACTGAAATGTCACGTAATACCGACAATTCATTGAAGGACGTTTTCAAGCACATGATGAGAATTTACATAGAGAAACTGTAACAAAGGAAACTATTCTTTTCCTTTTTTGTTTTGATTTTGTTTTTGTAATTTAGACATCATCACTGTTTTGGTAACAAGTTTGGCCGCCAAGACTTAGTGAGAACGTAATTCTCTATGAGCCTTTTAGTGCCATTAAAACATAACGAGATCCTCCTTGATATCATCAGGTCCTTTTGAGGGGTTGGCTTCCACGTGATCACCCAGATCTGACCTGATCCCGAGCATTTCAACATAATTGAGACACTAATAAATGATTGCACCAAGCAATTTCAAATCGTTATCATGAGACTATGGAGATTACCACGGCAACTCACCAGCTTTTTTCTGACACAGCGGGTACCTTTTTAATGTACATTCACCACTCCTTATTCCAGATGAGCCACCTGCCAGATAACCACAACTGCGAGTGCTTTGAATTGGTATTGGATATCCCGGCTTCCACAACGAGTAATTTAGTGGGGTGCCGTCAATCCATGTCCATTCATCCTTGCTTAACAGGCCAATGAACAAACTGTTAAAATTTGATTGGAAGCGTCTGATTTCGTCTAATATATTGGAGAAAGTGGCTCTCAAACCTTCACGAGCTATCTTGGCCAAGGTCCCACCGTCTCGTTTGCACCGCTCCAAAGCCTGTTGCCAATTAAGCGTACTTGAGGGATTTATAGAAAAGCAACCACCACGAAGGGGGAAAAATCCCGGACGGCACCACGATTGAGATACTTAAAAGGGAAGAAAAACAATGCTCTCAAAAGAATCATACCAGGTATTTATTGCAATACACGCCACAACTATCAGAGAATGGTAATCGCAAGTGCTCTGCTTCTAGTCTCAAGATTGAGCCTACTCACTCGGTAAAAATTTCTTTATTGTTATTGCTTGAAATTTGGTGTCAATATTAAACTGTATAAATGCGAATTAAACCATTAAGTGCGCAGATTTCACAAGAGATTTTATCCACCTCTAAAGACGTAAACACTGTTTGCCCAAGGCCCTCCTTTGCCTTCCTCACTGCAATCATTACTCTTGCCATACTTGTCAAAAGTTTCTTCTGCTGTTGCACTGGACAAGCACTGCCCATGGTGTTGTACTGCAAACATTTGGAAACCTCTTTTGCGTGCCACGATCGCACACTTTTCAACTGCGTTTTGGCGTGCTCTGTAATTTCCATCCAACACTGGGTCTGTTCCTTCAAGGTCCGGAATTGCACGATCAACGATGTCTCTGTAGCACCCCACATATTTATAATCTATTTGATTAAAAAAAATATTATGTAGTCGCTAGGCGAGTTTTCATTGAACAGATGAGTGACGAGCTTGGTGTTCATCGGATAAAATTAGAAAACAGGTAAAATGCATCGCTAAAAATTCGGTTTTGCGAGAATATTTTACCATACCCAAGGAGCCGAGGAAAGCATGCAGCGAAAGCAATCGCTTGTCTTTTCAAGGCCTGGGTAAAAGACTAAGCAAAAGCGGCAAAATATATAAAAAACACTACTTGTAAGGAGCGAATATATGGCACAAAGAAAAAGCTTTCGAAGCAAATTATTCATGTCCGTGAGTTATGTTGCAGATTTTGTTCGTGTTGATTTCCCACGTGAAGTTCTTCTTTTTCCTAATTAAGGCCAAAAACAGAACCATATGGATTTCGATCAAAGCTTAGTATATGTAAAGCTGTGGCTTGATAGAAGGGGATGGAAATGAAAGTTGTTCTCCAAATAAAACAGTGAAATTCGCACCATTTCGTCAATTCACTACAACTATAAAGAATGATTTCTTTTTTGTCTCGTAAGATTTAAAATTAGTCATCCAAATGTGTACTAAACAAAAATGGCAATAATATTCACGAAGTTCCATGAGTAGTTGTAGTCAAATGCCTCTTATTTCACGAAAAGGAGAAATACTCTTCAAGAATCATTTATCTTTTATATAAACCTTCATTAAAAGTATACATAAAGTCATGGAACAAGGAGAGTTTAAAGATTCCAAACAGCAAAACAACCTCTTGAAGGTTAAAGCCTTAAACATTTCACACGAAATCTGCTATTTCGTGTCTTGCCCAACAACTCTGCCTTCTACTTGTGACTTAAAAAACTAGACACTCCTCTTTAGCCATCACGTGCCCATTTGCTTGATGAATTAGAATTGCTCGGAAAATTTTGTCGAATTAAATAATGATTTTTTCCAAAAATAAGAGAAAAAACCCACAAAAATAACATTACGAGACACCAAATTTCAGATGGAAATGCTGCGTTCATCAAATCGACCAACCTTTAATAAGGTAAACATCGTTTGACCAAGGTCCTCCTTCGCCATCGCCGCGGCAATCAGTGCTCTGGCCATATTTGTGGAACGTTTTTTCTGCTGAGACACTAGCTGCACACCAACCACCATTCTGAACTGCAAACATGCGAAAGCCCCTTTTTTGAGCTGCGAGGGCACACTTTTCGATCGCGTTTTCACGGTTCAGGTAATCACCGACCAATAAGGGGTCAGCTCCTTCTAATGTTGGAATTGCACGATTGTATGTGTCTCTATAACATCCCACTCTTGCGTGGTCTGGTGAAGTCGCTGGTGAGACTATCGATACAAAGGCATGGAATTAGAATTGATCTTCAAAGTCAACAATCTAATCTTAGAATTCGCGGCTGAGCTAAATCAGGAAGAAATCTATAAAGGACACCAGATTGTTGATTTGAGTTGAGTAAAGTGTTATCCTAATATGTTTAAAGGACTACACATTGCAAAATCACGTAAAGAGGTTTCTCCAAACTTGTAAACGTTGCAAGAACAAGTGGCTTATAACAAGAATGTACTCATACAGCTGACTTTCAAGCATTGCTTACAAGGGAAGGTTAAATGAATCAAAGAAATAGATAGAAGAAAAGTGAGACGTAACGGCGCTACTCCGAGAAACACACCAAGGTCAATTATAACGGAAATTGATCGGTTCCTGAACCAATATCACTTGAGATAAATTTTAACTATGTAAGACAACAAGCTCCAAACAGAGACATTTATCAAACATGCTTACTGGATTGATTGCATCTTGTCTTTATCTTCATAATTTGATCCACGGACAATGCTTGATCGTAGAACTGCAAGCAGGAAACTTTTCCATAGAATTGCATCTCATGGTTGTTAGACGCTCCTATAGTAAGATTTCCTTGAGTTGCCAATTCCACGTTGGTTCCAATAGACTTGTTCATAACCATGCTCTCATTTACCCACACAGCCGCAACGCCAGCGTGAATATCGTACGTCGTCCCCACAAAATTCCACGCGTTTACTTTGATAACACCTTCTATACCTAATATGTGAGTCTTAGAACGATCCCTGACCATATAACGAATTTCAAGTCCCAAGGTCGAAGGAAAATACCACATCGAGCAACCATACTCATATATCAGACCAGCACGAGAGGCAGAGGCGTCAGGGTGCACCCATGCAAAAACGCTCACCGAAAACCTTGTATCAAGCTCTCCCCCATTTTCAACTTCCACATAGCTGTTATTAAAACCGCTGATAAGAAAGGAGCCAGCTGGATCACCAAAGGGACCTGTCGCCAGCATGATGTTATTGAAAACTGCTTCGGTGGCTCCATTTGGACCATGGTCAACAACTCTATCGCTGCGATGCGTGGAAAAAAGAGCTACGGGCAGGGGAACATCTTGGAAAATAAACAGATTTTCGATATGTGTAAACGTTTTTTCCATCGACTTTCAAATGAATAGAAAAAAAATACGCTGCGTTTATAACTGTTGCAAGAAGATTCTTTGGAAAAGGGTAGTTCAGAAGAATTTCAACAAACTATAAATCAGTTTTTTTCTCTATTACGAGAGGTGTACATAGACCAAGCATAGTAAAGGGTTAGAGATAAACTAGTTTCTTTATATACCAGCAACTAAAACACATACCTAACGGTTCTTCGCAAATAAATCCATTACGGCTCGTGCAGGGTAGATCGTTCCAGCGCCATCCGTATCCAGCCCAGTTTGAACTCGATCCAATTGCATTTAAAAAGGCTCCACACTTACCATCGCCGCTCGGTTCCCTCGGGCCCCATAGATTTATAGTACTCGTTGCATTATCATCATCTATCCAAACCCAACGCAGCTTGCTATTAATTCCAAGTGTAAGACCGCGGTATTCTTTCTTGAGTTGTTTCCGCTGATCTGCAAGGGCCTTTAATTGCTCTGCACTATTAACTATAGCGATTTCGCTCTTCTGCTTGTGACATAAGTTCCGGGCAAACCGCCACTGCTTAGATGATTGGAAATAAAACATGATACATGATTTTCCTAGTTTGTACCAGCCAGGCAAACATCCAGAAATAGAATGGCTACCTACAAAGAAAATAGCTCATTGGTTTTTCTCTTTTTTATCTGCAGCTTTCCATTTTACTGGTAATAATTCTCGTTTGTCAAAGAAGAAAATTGA